TTTTATCACAAATTATTGTTTCAAAATTTGAGTGCTTGATATATATGTTCCCTGCATCATTGTGAGCAACATTAGGGACATTACGATGCGAGGACGGGAACGACACTGGACTGGGAAACTTTCGCGATTCCCGTCTTTTAGCCAAAGCCAAAATGCTTCAGATGTGCCAGATTTTTCGTATACGACGACTATGTCAATACCTTGAGCTTGACGAAAGCTTTCCAAAAAACCAATGACCTCCTTTAGAGATGGTAGAAATCTTATCCTATTAAACTTAAACGATGGTTAACAGGGCATGAGACGACGCTGCATTTCTTCTTCTTTACATATATGAAGCAAACATCTCTGATCTGTCAGTATTTAAATGGCATTTGGCACCCTTCTGCGCATGTGCGGCAATTTGATTTCTTATCCGACGGAACAGTGTTCAAAGTTGCGAGGCGTGTGAAAATAATAATACTTATATTGAAGATTTGTTTAGTAATCTATGAAAGATCAACATCTTCTAGAATGGCATATTCTTTGTTTTGAGTTGAATACCGTCGAGAATACGATGACAAGCTTACCGAATCGCTTAGAAAGGACAGGCTTACCTGATGCAGAAGAAGAAGACGCAGCGACAGACGTCGGCGAGGGCCGAATAGCTGACGACGATGGCCAATGTTTCGAGACGACTGTTAGATGGGATTCTCCCAAGAAACTTGTTCCATTTATGGACTCTGAATTAGCAAATGAAAAATTAACAGTAACCATGGGTTATATCTTTCTTTAAAACAGACACATCTAGTCAACCATTATTTTTAAAAAAACATCCTCTTTCTTCAGGACCGTAATTAGCGTTTTCTATCAGCTTTATACCAGTCTTCCCTTAGTCAAATCAATATCAAAATAACACCCCAATTATTCGGAATAGATTAATTAAAGGTTGTTATTGTGTTTTTAGGGCAATCGATATTTCCAAGGAAACGATACTTGAAAGGATTTAAAATCGGTAAAGCTTGAACATTGAAAGCCAGGGATTTGCAATAAAGGAGCCAATACCAAAGTAAAATACACAAGAGTGAAGTAAAATACACAAGAGTAAAAGATCTGTTCGTTTGATTTGGCGTAAAGTTCAAACACCTTAAACCATACTTTTTGCGTATTAATGGTGAATAGTCCAAATGGTAAACGCTATTTTGGTCACAGTTTTTTTCAAAATACCAGGTATGTGTCATGTAGCTATTTCTTGATTTCCGATCCAGAAAAAGAGAGTTTTTATTAAGTAGACCAGTATTGATTTCATCTCAACAAGGTAACATCACGACTCTTCCTCGATCCTGTCACCAGTTGGGCAGAAACACTGTTTTCAAGGATGACGAACAAGTCTCTCCTTTCCCGCCATCCTCTTTTGCGCACGACACCTTACTTCAAGGTGTAGATTTTAAGTAATAAAAGATTTAGCCAAGCCTAAAAGCGGAGCTCCTGAGCGGGGTTGTTCAAAGCCTGATTAAGGTAACCCAGGATAAGCGAGAATTTTGATTTGAGTTTTGTAACTTTACGGTGAGGTTTTCTGTTTATGTTGTTTGGCCTTCTGTTTTGAGTTTGAATAATCTCAAGGTCCCCAAAATAAACTAAACCAAACCGTGAGAAACATTTGTATACAAGGAAAATTTATACTTCGGTTGACTTTTATAGCCCTGGGTTAACGTTAACCGGATTCTGGACAACCTGGCCCTGTTTACAACAAGTTAACCCGAGAGGAGCCCGCTATCCAATCGAAAAGCCAGTGCTTGGTCAGTGGTCAACTTCAAAAAACACGTGGCCTCGATGAGCTCTAAACATGAGCCAGCGATATGGTCACGTGATACTGGTTGGCAGATACCTTGTTTACACACGTGTCAATCGATCATAACATGGATGTCCAATATCAAAAAAGGACGGTACAAACGAAGGGTGCATGTCTCTGTCAACCTATTAGCTGGAGTATGGCCGCCATCTTGGGAAACCCCGTCACCGTTATGGGTACTCGCCCACGAGCAATACCGCTAGCCATGATAACCATGAGAAAATCAATTAATGGGTTTTCTTTTCTTTCCTATATAGGTATGAGGCTCCGCATGACCGCCCTTTGGACCGCCGGAGCTCCGCTCTTATAATTTTCATGTATGTAATGTGTCTCTAATGTATGCATTAGAATCTGCACTTGTCAACTTCAACGTCTGAATCGAAGTCGAACGTTGGCCGTTCTATTCGACTGGCGCAATCGAATAGAACAACAAGGTCGACCCAAATACAAATGTGTCGATCGTATCTGATTCAGGTGTCGAATTTTACATGTACGTAACAGCGACATTAGGCTCCGTACATGTAAAGGTCAAAGTTTGAACTGGGCCTTAGAGACCTTTCTTCGACTTCTCTGCCTGGATAATAGGTAAGCGAGAGAAAACAGAAATAGCTTATGCATAGACAAAGGAAAGACAAGACAAATTTACCTGATACAGCTGTCGGTGTGGGCACAATGGCTGACGCTTCGGTGGTGCTTGTTTGTTCTAATGTCCCCAAAGAACTTGTTGCGCTGATGGGGCCTGAATAAGCACATGATAAGTGAGCAGTAACTAAGGCTTATATCTTATTTTGTATCTCTCAGCCAAAATCTCTTGTTTTTTCAGATTTACTTTGGTCCTAGTAAACTGCTATGCACAGTATACAGCAATGACCGAATTATTAAGGTTGGAAATTTGTTCTGTTTTTCACTTTGTTTCAATCAATCTCGCTGCGTGCCTTGTCGTAATGTGAATTCCTGCGTCTCAGGTACCAGCTGTGTCAATGCAACGCACAGTGTACACTGGAGATTAATTTGTTGAGAAATCAGGTCCAGTTTATGTATCGGTGCAAGGAGACTTCGTATTAAGAATATATGTGGTTCCGGATAAACGTATTTTTTCCAGAGATTAGGGAGTTTACGAAACCACGACGGCGACGCCGAGGACAGCGTCGATTAAAAAATGAATTTGTATTTTACCTACGAATCTCGCGATCTTTTACTTTGTTTATCACATTTACTTTGTTTATCACTGTCAAAACTGTCGCGAAACTAAATTCGGAACACAGCGAAAAAATTTGAAATAAAAACTTTCTCCAGACAACGTTCAGAAAACGTTCTTCGGAGAACGCAAAATTTGGTCATTTCACGTTCTCGTCTCAGAGGACGGCAAAAAACGTACGAAGAATTATAACGCACGTGCACAGCCATTGTTCTGCTCATTAATTCTTTTGTTCAGTGACGTTCCCATTGCCGTTGCCGTCGTGGTTTCGTAAGCTCCCTAATAATCTGCGCTGTACTGTAGAGCTGTGTGCAAATTGTGTGCGAAAGTATTTGAACGAATGAAATACTACTGAAAAAGGGAATGAACAAGGCTTACCCCACCATCAAGAGCTTATTTAACATTTTGATTGAAATAAATAACTAAAATTGAGTAAAAATAAATATGCCTAGCGTGACAATTGGAACGCGACGACGACTTCGAAAATGACTTGCAGATTTTCCACATGGGGTTACTGAGCGTACTACTTATCACTGACGTCATCACGCAACTCTGGAAACTCGTCCCCGTCTGGTCATCAACGAAATTATTTCTTAAAGAATTCGTCCTTACGATGACGACTTTGCAAAGGCGAGTTTTACATGATTCCTTGTTAGTATTTTCTTATGAACAGCAAAAAATAACCACGAGTTAAAATCTTGTTAAAGCTCTGTCTTTTTAGACTATAGACTGCAAGTTTTTAGATTACACTTTATCAAACTACAGAAGTGGTTGCTAAGCAATTAAGAAAAACGACACAACTTTTGAGGATAGGCTTACACTAGAGGAAATTGTTCCGAATTCATGACGAATCCTCAACGTTTTAGTACTGGATTGCTTTTGTCGGTGACACACAAGTAGAAGAATCCGAAATAACAACTTCCCCGTTTGGTTGTGTCTCCGGAGATTTTGGATGGAGAATTTGAAGTGGGAACCGTGAATCCGAAAAACTCTTGAATCCGGAGGGTTTTCCCTTTTAAAAGATTTTCTTTCGAATCCGTATATTTTTTTGCCTGCCATATTTTGAGTTTGCGCCAGAAACAAAGCGGTAAGCCTAGTCTGAGTTTAAAAAACATGTTTTGGACTGAACACTTCAGTATCCATAATCAGTTCAAGGGTGTTTACAATATGTGACTAAAACAGCAGATAACAAAGAATAGAACAAACGTGATAATACTGAAGAATGATACTGTAGAAATGAAGACTAAATCGTGAGACATAAATTAACATGTTTAAGTTGTTTGTTCAGAGCTGAGCGTTACCATTCCACATGGAGGGATTCTTTGTTTTTAAATTGGGAGCTGGCAAGTGGATGCCGAGTCCAAGATGAAAAAACATAGGTGCTAACAATACTCTGAACCCTGCAAATTTTTGTAAATATGAGAACTGCGATTCAAAATATAGGAAATACAGGACAAAAAGCAAAACAGACAGGATCACAGGAAAGGTAAATATACTTTGCAAGATATTGTTTAGTGCAGCTACGTGACCTGAGGTGCATTTCCCTGAATGCAGTGCAATGCAGTGTACAGACTGTTCCCGTCCAAAAACAGATTCTCATCGCCTTCCTTTAAAACTTTAAAAAGTAAAATCCTAAATTATTGAAATTAGTGCAAGTGTAACTACCTGC